TTTTTTTTTTTACAATATTTCAGTCATTACTTGTTATTCTGATAGAGTGAACACAGGCTTTCAAAAACCATCATACCTAATCATACCTACACCAAACTTTTGAATGGTAGTGTACTTTTGAGGGGGAAAAATTATTTTAATGGCTGTCACTTACAGGTGGGGCCGTTCTGGGTTTGGGAGCAGGGACAGGAGCTGGTGTGGAGGCAGATGGCCCAGAATCTGGAGAAGAAGAAAAAAACGTTTTAATAAAAATGACCATTTAAGCTTATTTCAACCTAAAATATATCAATTTTTTGGATTTAGAGCTGTATTCATCATGTATGTAAGCATTATTAAATTCACCTGTTTTGTCACTTGGTCGGGGGACAGTGGGTGGAGCTTTATTTACATTTGCATCTTTACTAAAATGACCAACAGGATTCCTGAAAAATACACAGAACATTGCAGCTGATATAATGTAGCCAATGCTAACAATGCTAAAAAACCAACACCTGAAATCCCTATAAAAAAACACAGCATCTGATAAACTGTTCCTTGTAATGCAGCTGGGAGGTGACAGCTTACCTAGTGGGGGATTTTACTGGTTTGGGTGCAGGGGCTTTTGGCTGTGGGGGTACAGGAGGAGGTGGGGATTTATAGGAAAATGATGTGGGCAACACTGGAGCAGGTGGCACTATGGGCGCTGTTCTAGCTGGAGCGGGTGGTATAACTGGGGGAGCAGAGGGTGCAGATGGAACCGGAGGCACTTGGGGAAGAGCTGCCTTTGGATCTGGAGGTGGTGGTCTTTTGGCCGCGGGAGGAGGTGGCGGAGCAGGGGGGAGCACTATAGGAGAGACGAGACCTGTTATTCATATGCCTACAAGAAAAACCAGCTTGATTTTTGGAACATGGTGCTTGGTTTATAGCTGTTCCATAGTAGGTTAAATTGGTTGACCAGCCGGTTGAGCTAGTAGAGCATTATGGAACAACAATGTTCAACAATCTTGACTGCTGTTCAAAAATAAAAAAAAAATTTTAAAGAAACTAACACTTTTATTCAGCAAGAATGCATTGAATTGATCCAAAGCAACAGTACAGATATTTGTAATGTTACAAATTATTTATATTTCAAATAAATGTTGTTATTTTGAACTTTGTTCATCAAAGAATCCTGGAAAAAAAAGGATCATGGTTTCCACAAAAATAAGTAGCACAACTGTTTTTTTACATTGATGATAAATTTGTAGTGATCAAATAAATGCAGTCTTGGTGAATATAAGAGTTTTGTATACTATGTAACATAGAAATAATAATCTGTATAGAAATGGGTGTAAGACTGTACTGAGGTGAGACTCACCATACACTGAGATGTTTTTGTCTGGACTCTGAGGGTTTGAAGGGTCTGAGCATGATCTCTGCCTACCGACCATGTCCGCTTGAGGACTCCACCCTGACATCACAAACACACATAAATGTGTTTATTATGCATGTTTATGACTTTACTGAATGTACATTTGTAAGCAAGCTATTTCAGAATGAAAGTTTTCAGAATTTACTACCAGAAGATTCTCAACTCACCAAGCCTGAATGCTACTCACCCCTTCCCAAGGTACGAAGCGGTAGAGGAGGAATACCCGGCACCCCTGGTAAACCCAAAGGCGGTGGACTAACATCAAGCATGGTGCCGTAAGTCTCGTTGCAGATCATGCTTGGAATAAAAGACCTCTGCTTGTTATTGACCACATTAGCCACATCCCGTGCCAGAGCGCTCATGTTTGGCATCATGGGGCCAATGCCTGGAATAATACAGCTAACTGGACGCTCCTCACGCCTGTTGGGAATGGGCTGAAACACAAAATCAATGGCATAAGGATGAGCCAAAAGGTACCAATATTCAGTGCTGAATATTCTCTTTGTCCAAATACATTTTGATCTTTATGTAATAACCTATGTGGCATTCACTATGTAGTGAACAGTGAATGAGGTTTGCATAAAGTATATGCATGATTGTTTACAATAACACGTATGTTCTCTCAGTGTTAACTAAGCTAACGAAGAAAAACATTTCGGTAACATTATAAATGTCTTCGTAGTTACTTCTGGTCAATTTAATGCATCCTTGCTTAATAAAAGTATTAATTTATTGTAAAAAAAAAAATCTTAAAGAGAGTATAACTGAATTAAATGGCTTCTTTTGTATAAAAAGTATAAAAACCTTGTCTTCCATCTCATCCTCACTCTCATCCAGGTCATCGTT